GGTGGGCTACAGTCCATGGGGTCGCAGAGAGTCAGACATGACTGAGCTCACCCTGTTGTTCTCTTTCCTGAGTCCCATAACTTTTAAACTAGTTTTTGTCTCTCTAAGTTTGCATAGTCTAGCTATTTCATATAAATGGAATCATATAGTATTTGTCCGTTGTGTCTGACTTACTTCACTCTGCATAATGTTTTCAGGGTTCATCTGTATTGTAGCATTTGTGTATCAGAACTTCGTTCCTTTTTATGATGGAATAATATTCCATTATATGGATAGATCACATTTTATTTATTGATTTATTTGTTGATGAACATTCGGGTTATTTGGTTATTGTCTATATTGCTGCAGTGAAGCTTGTTGTACACATATCCGTTTAAGTCCCTGGTTTTGGCTCTACCTAAGAGTGGAATTTCCAAGTTGGAATTTCCAAGTTGTGTATTTAACATTAGTGGGGGCAAACACTGCATTGTTTTCTCAGTATGCTTTGATTAATGCTTCCTTGATGACTAATGATGTTGACCGTCTTTCCTGTGCTTATATTAGTGAATTGTATAAGTTTCTTTGTGAAGTTCAAGTCTTTGTGCATTTAAAAAAAATTGGGTTATTTTTCTTTGTTGTCTATGTTTTCTTTGTGTTGTTAAAGAAAGTTCTTTATTCTTAATAGAGTTCTTTTTAAGGTATGTGTTTTGTGAATATTTTCTTTCATTCTGTGACTTGCCTTTTACTTGAGAATCAGACTGCTTACCGTCATCTCCTCCCCTAATTTAGATTTTGTTACTCTTGGGTCCACTTAGTGCTGTATTTGGAAAGATACTTCCAGAATTTTAGTATGGTTTATAGACCTGTGGGGTGAGTCACTTTAAATTTTTTCTACTTTTAGGTTAATTTCCTTTATTAGGTATATATTCTGTTCTCTATATATAGTTGTGTGTAAGTGAATTGTAGTTGCTAAGTTAAAAAAATCAATCTGTATTATTAGAATTCTTTGCTGGTATGTCAAATTCTAGCAGACCAGATTTGAATGAGTCTCTCTCTTTTTTTTTATAAAAGAATAGTAGTCACTTTGGGGAAAAATACTTTCTGGTCTTCAAATTCAGTTGTCCTTGGTTACCACTGGGCTTGAGTGGAAAAAACCAGAATATGTAACAGAAGATCTGGCCTTGTTATCTTTGCAACACTAGAATGGAAAACCTGAAATCAAACACAGAAATTTGGACACCGTCTTGCAGCAGAAAGGAGACTTCCTTTGGGTCACTTGTTGCAGCTTACAATCAAGTCTTTTTTTTTTTTTTTTAACATGTTGGTATTCTATTAATAATTTGGAAGATTATTGAGACATAGAATTCTAGAGCAAATGAGACTTTAGAAATCATATCTTCATATCCCTTCAGTTATATTGTAAGTCACATTATTTGATCAAGGACTGTAGGGTTATAGGCATTTAAGATCACAGGATTGTCAGCACTGATTGGCTTCAAAGATAATTCTAGTAGAAGCACTTGGTAATAGGTAAAGTGTGCCGATTGTATAATTTTTGTACCTTCTTTATTTCATTAGTAATGCCCAACACTTCCTTCCCCTGTTTACCACTCAGCTTTCACTTTCTCTGCTTCATGTGGAATCCTTATATGCACTCTTGTGTAGAATTATTGCTGTGTTTATTACCAGTGGAATCCATGGTGAATTCTAGCAGGTTCTCCCTCCTCTACATCTGCCTCTTTGATGGTAGTTGGGTTTACTGCTGCTCACTTATTAGTGCCCTGGGTCTTAGCAGCCTTATTCAAACAAAACATCTTAAATGGAGTCATTAAAAAGGTCACAACAGTGAGCCATTTTTGTAACTTTTGGTGCAATAAAATGGGTATGTTGTGTTTTGGAATACAAGACCTCTGAGTGCAGCTATTCATTTTCTTCATCTATAAAACACTTTAGAATAACAACTTACATCTGTTTAGGGTTTAAGATTCCATGTTTTGAAGAAACATCATTGTTTTGAAACTACAAACCAGACCTGGGGAGGGAACTCGCTTTCTGACTGGCCCGTTTTCTGTAGTAGTTGGGAGTGTTTGTTTTAGCTGGGGAGCCATATTTGCTGGCAGTACTGCTCTAACATGTGTGGAACACATTTTCATTATTTCTTCATATTGTAAATGACAAGACACATTCAATATGAATTTGACTTGAAGAATGTTTGAAACATTTTCACACATCACGAGTTTATCCTATGAAGAATATTTCGTTACCAGAAGTCAAAAATACATTTAATTATTCAAGCATTTACAGCACATTTAATTACCTGAGACTGTCAGTTAATCTTGTTTTAGAGTAAAGTTGGGATTTACTGTTGGCTGACTTTTTGAAATAAATACTCTGTGGAATAGTTCTGGACATTTCAAATGTGTGATTTCAGAATTATTTGTTTAAATTGAAGTAACAAAGTAATGAATAACTCTTAATAGAGAAAAATGGGCAAAATGTCCATCTATAGTATTCAAAATCTGGTATTATTTATTAAGTATCAAAAAAGTGCCAATAACATACAATGCAGTTTTATGGGTTAATTTTAATCAAGAAGTGAGGAAAGCTAGCATGGACCATTACAATAAGTTATAAGGTGTTTTTCATCTTATAACTGTGACATATGTACATTCTTATTAAAGTGTAATATATTTACATTTGGTAGGAGACAACACAAAGAAGAAAATTAAAATCATCTGTAATCCCACTTTTCATACTGTTCATGGGGTTCTCAAGGCAAGAGTACTGAAGTGGTTTGCCATTCATGAGAAAGGGCAACAGAGAATGAGGTGGTTGGATGGCATCACGGACTCAGTGGACATGAGTGTGAGCAAGCTCTGAGAGACAGTGATGGACAGAGAAGCCTGGTATGCTGCAGTTCATGGGGGTCACAGAATCAGACGAGACTTAGCGACTGAACAAAAACAATAATCCCACTACTTAGCGACTGAACAAAAACAATAATCCCACTAACTGTTAGTCCTCTTTGGCATTTTGTTACATATTATAAATTTTTTAAAATGGTGGTCCAGTGGTTTGGACTCAACACTTCCACTGCAGGGGGCCCAGGTTTGATCCCTGGTTGGGGAACTGAGATCCCGCAAGTGTGCGGTACAGCCAAAAAAAGAAAAAGAAAACTACAGTCAGTTTTTTTTGGTTTTGATAATTGATAATATAGCACTCTACTGTCAGAATGGACAGTGTCAGATGCTTTCATGGTTTGGTAACAGAAACTCAACTAAATTTATCTCCTGCTATGGTACTCTGATGTACAGGATGGGGTGCTGCTTAATTATGAAGATGACAGACTTCTCTGAGACTCTTAGGTTGTCAGCTTAAACTAATTTAGTGACATAGGCTTTTTTATTTTTATTTTTTTCCTCACTGCCATTGCCTGCCTGAATGGAAGGCCCGGTTTCTTTCTGTGGACACTTGTCAAGCCCGGGCCGCTGTTTCTTCAAGCAGAGGAAGAAGCTGATGCTAGACTCTTAGTTTCTGATTAAATATAAATATTTCAGAGATAAGTTAGCACTCTTAATTCACTGGAAGATAAATACTCATTAATTTCGTCAACATTGTGGTCTACACACACACCCACACATGCACACACACCCCTGTGCCTATTGTTACTGGTCAGAGTCCACATTTACTCTTCACTGACAGCTGACCTGGGTACAGAGCAGCAGTTCTGGGGCCATAGTCTGTTTGAGCAAAATCGTCTCTTTCTCGGGACCAGTGTGCAGTGCATGGAGATTATCTAGGCTACTGGGTAGGGTCCCCCGGAGTTCAGGTATTTTTATCTTAGGAAATATGAAGGTAGGGTCCTTTTTTTTAGAATTTTAGAAGATTTAGTTAAAAGCACATGGATTATACTGGGGGTGAATTTATATGTAGATAAATCCAGTTTAGGTGTCTTAGGTAGTCTAGTAGTCAGATGGTCTAGGCTTCTTACTTCTTAACCCTTTAGGCAAGTTAAACAGCTTCTCTGAAGCTCCATCCCTCATCTATAAAATGGGGATGGTAATGATACCTGTCTCACGGGGTTGTTGTGAAGATTCAGTGAAATAAGAACTATGAAGTGCTGATAGACACAGTTCCTGGCATGTGAAACGTGCTTGGTAACAATTCTAGCTTATCAATATACATCTGATTGTAAATGTTTAAGTGCATTGATTGTCTTCATGCTAGAGATGACTGTTGTCCCTGACGAAGCTTGAGACTAAATCAGGCTCTCAGGCCACCTCTGCTCCTGTCTGCTCAGGGCCCTCACTCATCCAGCACAGCGAAGTGTTGCTTCCTTCCCACGCTGGGCTCTGGCCCTGGATCCCTCTTCTCAGCTTCCCCCTGCAAGCGGCTCTGCCTGCCTCCTATTCCCTCTCTCCTGCTCTGCCCACCTCCTCTTCCCTCTCTCCTGCTCTGCCCCTCCATCCACCTGCCTCACCCCTCTTGTTTTTCTTCCTTCCGCCCCCTCCATCCCTTCTTTCTCCCTCCTCTTTTCCTCTCTTCCCTTTCTTCTTTCCTGCTCTCCCCTTCTCTTCTCCACTCCTCCTCCTGTCCTGGCTCACCCTCTTTCTCTTACCCCCTCCCAGTTTCTCTCGTCAACCCTGACACCTGGCCTGCAGACAGCTAAAATTCTAAAGCAGAAAAATGTCACATCCTTAAAGCCTTATTACTTGTGATGGAAAAGTATTTATTTTCTCATTTTTTTTCAGTTGCCAGACTCTGCATACTGCACTCCTATTTCAGTTTTAAGAGGGCATCACAGCATCATTTTATATCCCTTGTGCTTAAAAAGTCAGTAGATTCTACAAGCAGTTACTGTTTAATTCTTTACTTAAAAGTTTGTTTAATGGTAATTTTTTATGTACATAAAGTTAAAATGAAATAATGTTTCTGAATAATAATTATAAGTTCATATGGTCATGCTAAGCAAACTGATCTTTCTGGCCTAATTTGTTTGGTTTTCCTTTTTCTCTCTGCAGATTCCTTTCTCATTGGTCCAGTTTCCCTTGTGGGAGTCCTTAAAAGTAAGTTTCCTGATCTTCATGTAAAGCTGCTGTCTAATTATAATAGATACCCACTAGTTTCAGCATGGAACACTGGAATATAGTATTGATTACTCATTTAAAACCTCAAATCATTAGTTGGATTCATTTTGTGAGTGGAGTTTACATGCCAGTAAACTTGTTTTGAACTTGTTTAGGTATCTGTGGTATACGGGGAAGAAGCATATGGTAGGCATAACTGAAATCCTGAGATGTTTAGGAAAAACTTTACTTTCCTGTGTGTTGTAGCTCTTTTTCTACCCAGTTGAATTATATTTCAGTTCGCTGTGTGCGTGTAGAGGTTAAGGAATAACAGGGTAAATGGAAAAGGAAGGAGAGCCAGGCTGTGGGTACTTATAGGCCTAGAAGGCCAGGACCTTCCCCCACCCCCACATCTAGCAGTGGGCCAGAGTGGGAGCAGCGGGGGCCCTGTCTTCCTCAGGTCCCTTCCATCTTCCCTGCTCTCCAGGCTCAGGAACCCTCGCTAAGCCTGAGCATGAGCAGAGTGTAGGGAGTCAGCCGTGAGGAGTGTCACACATAGATTGAAAAAAAAAACCCAACTAAATGAATGTGTGAAAGCCATTATTCAAAACACGAAGAGATGTTGTATTTGTTTTTCATCTTCTGGTGCAGTGATCTTGAAAGTTGTGGGCCATGCTGTGACTTGTGTGGTTGTTTGCCAGCATTTTATTTTATTTATTTTATTATTTTTTTTCCATTTATAATAAGTTGGAGGCTAATCACTTTACATCATTGCAGTGGTTTTTGCCATACATTGAAGTGAATTAGCCATGGATTTACATGTATTCCCCATCCCGGTCCCCCCTCCCACCTCCCTCTCCGCCCAATCCCTCTGGGTCTTCCCAGTGCACCAGGCCCGAGCACTTGTCTCATGCACCCAACCTGGGCTGGTGATCTGTTTCACCCTAGATAATATACGTGTTTCGATGCTGTTCTCTTGAAACATCCCACCCTCGCCTTCTCCCAGAGTCCACAAGTCTGTTCTGTACATCTGAGTCTCTTTTTCTGTTTTGCATATAGGGTTATCGTTACCATCTTTCTAAATCCCATATATATGTGTTAGTATACTGTAATGGTCTTTATCTTTCTGGCTTACTTAGCTCTGTATAATGGGCTCCAGTTTCATCCATCTCATTAGAACTGATTCAGATGAATTCTTTTTAATGGCTGAGTAATATTTCATGGTATATATGTACCACAGCTTCCTCATCCATTCGTCTGCTGATGGGCATCTAGGTTGCTTCCATGTCCTTTGCCAGCATTTTAAAGATAACAATAAAAAGAAAATAATAGCATCTTGAGGTAAGGTTAATAAGTCTTATTTTGTCAAACTTCCGAATTGTGTGCACATATATGCACACATCCGTGAACTGGATTGCAATGTGAAATGTATTTCTCACTGTGGATAATGATCAAAAAAATTTGAAAGCCCTTGTGCAAATGAAAATGATTTAGAATTGACCAAACTGTAAAATGGCAAAGTTCCTAGGTAGGCACTTGATATTACAAAAAATAAAGGAATAACTCATTATTGTAGAGTATTAATAATCATGGCACGCTCAAAGAAAATGTCTTTGGAAGAGTAACAGTTATTTGGAGTCTGAAAAATAGTCTGTTAAGGTTATACACTAAGGATAATAAAATGAGACAAAACGTTACTCAAAAAATAAGCTCTTCAGTATTTAGTATTGAGAAATACTTCTTATAAGTGATCTGATTTTTAAGGAATGATGCAGTTTGTTTAACGCAGGTTTTGGGGTCTTTCATGGTTATTTAGTTTGTTTTTGCTTTTACTGTTTTCTATGTGGCACACAGGGAAAATGAATTTCTCTGGCAGTGTTTCCAGGCGTGATGTAACAGCTGTCCAATGAGAAGGTCACATTCCATAAGCATAACAGCTCTCTTTTTGTGTGTGTGACAAAAGAACAACGAAGCAACAGCTGTCCTGAAAACAAGACTCACTTTAGTAGTGTCTCAGTAACCAGCATTCACGTAGCTTCTGCACACTCGCTGACTTCCCCAGGCCCGGTCTCTGCACAGGAATGTTTTGAGGCCCAAAGAGGGAAAAAGCATGGGGCTTATTTCTTTTCAGTTCTCAGGACATTTGTAGTATGGTAACTAGTTAAGAAATGTCTAGAATTTTTCAGAGTAATCATAGATGCCAATGTTGGGCTTTAATACTTTTTTTTGAGCCAGTGTTCAGATGCTAAGGTTTTTTTTTCCAAGTCAGATGTATTAAGGTATAATCTTCATATAGGAAACCTCTGTAAGTGTACATTTTTATAGGTTTTGGCAAATAATGAGTACCACCCTAAACATGATACAGAATATTTGTAGGTTTCTCTTTTCCAGAATCTCTTTTAGAATCGCACACTGTGGAGTATTTTGTGCCTGGCTTCTTTCATTTAATGTGATGCTTTTGAGGTTCATTTCTGTTCTGTCCCATACTTGTAGTTTGCTCCTTGTCGACACTGAGTGTAACTTGTGTGCGTATACTATAGTTTGCCTAGCCAGTTACTAGTTGGTACACTTTTGAGTTGTTTTCAGTTTTTGATGATTTTGAATGAAGCTGCTATATATATTTGAATAAGGATATTTTTGTATGGACATATGTTTTTGTTTTTCTTGGTTTAGTACTAAGAAGTGTGATTGCTGGATCTTACGGAGATTGTAAGTTTAAGTTATTAAGAAACTGTCGCAGTGTTTTCCAAAGTAGCTGTCCCATTTTCTAATAATGTATGAGAGTTCCTGTTGCTCTACATCCATGTCGTTGCTTATTATTATTATTAAAGTTTAGCTTTTCTGATAGCTGTGTACTGGTATCTTCATGGCAGGTTTTTTGTTTGCTTTTTATTTTTGCCACACCGCTCTGCATGCGGGCTGTTAGTTTCCTGACTAGGGATGGAATCCCTGCCCCCTGTAGTGGAAATGCAGAGCCCTACCCTCTGGGCTGGTGGTGAAGTCCTCCTTGCAGTTCTTGTTTATTCAGGTTGGGCTGGGTGCGCGGACTTTGCTCTGCTTGGGGCTCCTCTTCGTTGCGATGCAAAGGCCTCTCTTGGTGTCTTCTCTTGTGGTGGGAGCACAGGCTCTAGGTGCGCAGACTTCAGCTGTTGTGGCGCACGGGCTTTGCTCCTTGGCATGTGTCATCTTCTCAGACCAGGGATTGAGTCTGTGTCCCCTGTGTCGTTGGATGGATTCTTATCCCCTCTACCACCAGGGAAGTTCCCTCATTGCAGTTTTGATTTGCATTTTTCTCAGGCCTAAATAATGTTGAGCATCTTCTCATTTTTTTTTTAATGTACATATAATGTGATATCACAGTGCTTTGTAAAAGTAGGTAATTTTTGGCATTCTTTTATTTTTGTATTTATGATTTTTATCAAGTAAAACTTGGTTCTGCAGCCATGGAGACACTGTATTATATGCAGTAGTTTCTTTCTGTTATGTTTAGGGAGAAATACTGCTCAGGAAGATTTTTCTCAGCAAGGACTTTGGTAGATTGTGTGCACATTATGCTGTAAAGTAGTGGGAATCTGGAGATAGGGTCTAGCCACTGTCACCTTAAACTTATTCTGCCTAAAATTGATGGAATCACCTTCTAAAATCACTTCCTCCTATCTCCTTGATTTTCGTTAATCGTACTGCTGTTCTCCTGACCCCTTAGTCTCAAATCCCATATTAAATCTGCTTCTTGGTTTCTGTATCACTCACCAAGTTGTGTTCACTAAGACTTTTTGGAACCTGTGGTATCCTTTGTTTTTATCAGATTCTTACTAACTTGTGCCTGAACTAAGTTAACACTGATCTATTCTACACACTGAATTTGTGTGATCTTCCTTAAACATTTTTTGAAGTTCCCAGGAATGTGTAATGTTTTAGAACATGAAGTTGTTGGCACTCAAGGATATCCACATTGTGTCCTTAATTGGTTTTTACAGCTCCCTTCCCCAGTACTTTTTTTGTTTTGGCTCTTCCTCCCTTCCTTTCTTTCCTTCCAACCAGAATAGGCTCCTTACTGCCCTTTTTCTTTGGCTAACCTCTGAAATGCCTTTTCACAGATCAAATGCAAATACATCTTTTAAAGCCAGCTCAGTTTTTTTTCTCCTGCCTGAAGTCTTCCAGCCCAGACCCTGAAGACATACCCGCATGTCTAACATCTGTCTGTATTGCTGACTGGTGTTTAATCGTGTGCTGCGTTGTGTATAAAAACGTCTTAGAGGTGAGCCGTGGTGCGTTCTCATAAGGCCCCAACCCCTTCCACGGATCAAAAAGTGACCGATGCCATTAGTGTACATGTATTGCCTGCCTCCTATGAGCTCGATACTGTGCCCTTTCACAACGGTTCAGAGATGACGGGTGTGACTGATGCCCTTGAGGAGCTTGTAGTCCATCAGAAAAGTGCATACTCAAGGTAGCGCCGTGGTCAGGTGTCTGATTGACACTCACCAAAGGCAGAGTGGGGGTCCGCCCTTCTGATTCCCTGAATCATATCACTGCACTACCTCGTTTCTTAGATTTTCTTTCTGTTTTTAATAGTACACGTACTTACAAAAACGATTTAGATGAGAGACTAAACAGCATAAAGATGGACTTCCCTGGTGGTCCAGTGGTTAAGACTTCCCCTTCCAATACAAGGGATGCAGGTTTGATCTCTGGTCGGCGAGCTAAGATCCCACATGATCTGTTTTTTTGTGTTCAAAAAAACAGAACATAAATCAGAAGCAGTGCTGTATGAAATTTAATAAAGACTTAAAAAAAACACCAAAAAGAGAAGGGGAAGTAAAGGGGCTCAGTCATCGTATCTAGAATCCCCACACAAATAATTTTCCTTTAAGGTTTATGTTGACTTTGGAATTTTCTGGCAGCCCAACAGGAAGAGAAGTGTGTTAGATGACATGGTTCTATTACCCAGCAAATGACGAAAGCATGCTATGTTACCTTGTTTCTTGGCTTTGGATGCC